TCAGAACCAGATTGAGTTTGTCTTGTACTTGAGTGAGGATGTGTTGGAGCAGGAGAGATGGTCACATTTGTGCATTACTTGCTCTCACTTCTTTCTTTCAGTGGCCCGTTTCTCCTGGGTGTAGATACTCTCTGGGAACACCTAGGTTTGCTTGGGCCCTGTCTGGATATATATATATATATATTTTTTTTTACTAATTGGATTCAAACCCAGGGGGTCTCATACACGCTAGGCAAGTACCCTGACATTGAGCTGTATGTGTATGAGTGTGTTGCCTGCATGTATGTAAGTGCACCCCTGTCATGCAATGCCTGCAGAAGTCAGAAGAGGGCATCAGATTCCCTGGAACTGGAGTTACTGTTGTGAGCTACCATGTGGGTGCTGGGAATTGAACCCTGGTCCTCTATAAGAGCAGCCAGTGCTCTTAACCACTGAGCTGTCTCTCCAGCCCTCATTTAGATTTTTTGATTTGTGTATTATGTGTAATTAGAGACTAGAGACAAGGAAACAGAGCTGAGAGAGGTGCATGCCCTGCCCAAGAACACATAGCCTGGTGGGTGGCTGTCAAGCAGGGTCTCCCTGTAGCCCCAGCTGTCCTGGAACTCACTATGTAGACCAGGCTGGCCTTGAACTCAGAGATCCACCTGCCTCGGCCTCCCAAGTGCTGGGACTACAGGTGTGTGCCACCACGCCTGGTTCCATCTTTTATACTTTTTAAAATAAGGCATCACCATGTTGCCTAAGCTGACCTGAACTCACTCTGTATAGCCTAGACATGTCTTGAACTTATGATCCTTGTGCCTCAGCCTCCTGAATAGCTGGGGTCACAGGCCTACCACCAGGCCTGGCTTAGACATTGTCTTTGCTTTAACCTACTGAGTGACAATCCCACTTCCCACCCCATTCCCTCCCTTATACTATTTTTTTCCTTCAGTGTCCTCTGCCACTCTGAGCCACACCATCAGTGAACAAGATGATGGGACAACCTGACCTCTCTTTTTGTTTTTGGTTTTTGAGACAGGGTCTCCCTGTAGCCACAGCTGACCTGGAACTCACTGTGTAGACCAGGTTGGCCTCAATCTCATAAACATCTGCCTGCTTCTACCTCCAGAGTGCTGGGATTAAAGGCGTGTGTCACCCTGTCCGGTGTTTTATTTGGTTTTGGTTTTGTTTTCTTCCCACCCCTTTTGAAAACTTCGTTATGGTCTCAAGACTGGACCTTCTTCCCACCGCCAGGCAAAGCACAGGAGGCAGTTCCTCAGAAATGTAAGGCTGCCAGGGCAGGTGACATTCACCTGTAATACTAACACTCAGGAGGCTGACGCAGGAGGATCATCAGTTCCAGGCCAGCCTGGATTTCATAGTTCGAGACAGTCAGGATGGAGAAGATCAAGGTTATAGTAAAGAACCAAGACAGAGCTGAGCTGAATAGGTAGTTTGGCACTAATGATCCTTCCCTCTCTCCCTCCCTTCTTTCCTTCCTTTTTCCTTCCCTTCCTCCCCTCCTCCATCCCTTTTTCCTCCCTTCCTTCCTTTCTTCCTTCCTTTTGGTTTTTGAGACAGGGTCTCATATAGCCCAGGCTAGCCTCAAACTTACTATGTAGCTGAGGATACCCTTGAACTGATCCTTCTTCTTCCACCTCCCAAGTGCTGGGATTACAGGTGTGTGCTACCATGCCTGGCCTTTTTGTTGCTCTTTTTGAGTTGGGGTTTGCCTATATAGCCCAGACTGGCCTCAAACTTACTATCCTCCTGCCTCTGCCCCCTAGGTCCCGAGATTACAGTTGCCCAGCTGAAACCAGCAATTTATTTATGTTTTCAGAAATTTGAACAAAATATAACTTTTGTGGGCCTCTACCTATTCTCTCTAAAATGAGGAAGTTGAACAAAAAGCTTTTTAGGATTTCTTTTAGCTCTGATATCCTGTGAATTCAGAAGCTTTCTCATTACTGTTGTTAGATCAGCAGTGTCACAGACAGTCTGTCCCAGAACCTGTTCTTCCTGGTTCTGGGGAACATGTAAGAGAAAGGGAATGTCATTGACATTGGGAAAAAAAACGAACAGGAACTACTAGAGACAAAACTGGACACCTTCCAGCCCCGGAGAAGCATTGAGCAGAGGGGGAGGGGAAGCAAGTGCTGGGCATCAGAATCTTGTCAGCACTGGTGGCTTGGCTTGGTCAGTGGGTATTGGTAGAGATGGAAGAGCTCAAGAAATGTGCGAATCCTTAGCCAGGCATGATGGCACATACCTTTAATCCCAGTTCAAGAGGCAGGAGGATCTCTGTGAGTTCAAGGTCAAGCTAGATTACACAGTGAGACCTTATCTCCAAAAGCAATCTCTCTCTATCATCTATCTATCTATCTATCTATCTATCTATCTATCTATCTATCTATCTATATTCTATAATCTTTCTATCTATATAATCTATCTCTATCATCTATCATCTATCTATATCTATCATCTATCTATCTATTATCATCTATCTATATCTATCATCTATCTATCTAATCCAGATTTTTAAATCTCTTCTGTGTTTTCTACATTATATTCTATTTTCATATAGAAAATTTGAATTTATCTGTTGCTTTTATTTTAGGACCATAGTAGCTCAGTGGCGGTGAATCAGGAGGTAGAAGGAGCAGGGGGTTCTCTTGAATGTGCAGAAAGTGTCCACTTACAGTGTGTGAGATTCCTTGAACTGGAACAGAAGGACTTCCCATGGCCCCATAGTACTTGTTGAATCATTTATTTCTTTTTTAAAATTTTACTTATTATTTTTATTTTACATGTATGAGTGTATTGCCTGCATGTCGGTAAGTGCACCCATGTTGTGCAGTGCCCATGGAGGTCAGAAGAAGGCAGCAGATCCCCTAAAACTGGAGTTACAGATGGTTGTTAGCCACCATGTGGGTGCTGGGAGTTGAACCTGGGTCCTCTGCAAGAGCAGCCAGTGCTCTTAACCACTGAGCCATCTCTTCAGCCTTGAATCATTTATTTCATATGCCCATGGCAACTGGAATGGGAGAGCTGAGAAAGAAAAGGGCTGTCCTCCAGAAGCATGAAGGCAGCTCATCCTTCTCCACAGCAAGGAAGGACCAGGCCTGAGCTGCCTCTTGTAGCAGGAACGTGCTTTCAAGGCTGTTGGAGAGCTTAGGTGGTGCCAAGAAGGAGGGAGAAACTTCGATCCCCATTTGAAAGCTAACAGAGGGTGTATGTGTTGGAGCGGGAGAGACAGTCACATATATTCATTACTTTCTCTTCCTCTCTCTATAACCTCCTCCTCTGCCAAATATACCCACATTGGTCTTCTCTTCCCCACACTCTCAAATCCACATATGCTCTGATGCTCAGAAAAACACCAACATATCCATACGCTCACACTGTACTATACACACATAAGACTATTGATCCTTATGGTCACATCCATTTGACTTCACTATCACAGGTATTTGCTCTATACTATATGTAGAACGCTACACTGGATGTGTCAAGATGAATAAGACATGGTTGTTGTCCAAAATAGTGTATAAAAATAAGCCTATGCAAAAAGTGGCAAGCCCAGAGGCACATATGTGCGAATCATTGATCCTGCAAACAGAAATTCATGGGCATCATTTACATGGGTATGTGATGAAGGTTTATAAAAACAGAACTGCTGGGCTGGGGAGATGCCTCAGTCAGTAAAGTGCTTACTGTGGAAGCACCGGGACCTGAGATCAATACTCAGCACCCATGTAAAAGCTGGTAGAGTGACATGCGCCTGCAACCCCAGCACGCAGGACGCAGAAACAGGATTCCTAGCAGGCCTAGCCAAATCAGCGAGCTCCAGGTTCAGTAAGACCCTGTCTCCAAAATAAGGGGGAGAGCGATTGAAAACACCTGACATTGACCTCTGGCCTCTATTCACACACATATGCATACCCTCCTTTCATATATGCATACCCTGTCTGCATACATGCACACACATGAACACACACAAGAAAAAGGAAGAAAACAACTGCTCATTCATATTTTTTATAAATATATGATTAATATTGAAACATTTCAGGGAGTTCTATTCTCTTATTCATCTGTGTTAGTTTATCATCTTTCAAATTCTAAATTCAAATTAGACTTCTTGGCTAAATTCTTAGCCGGTTGTGGTACACACTTGTAATTCAGCATTTGAGAGGCAGAGGTAGAGGATCAAGTGTTTCAGACCAGCCTAGGCTACATAATGAGTTTCAGGTCTGCCTGAAACTGGGACGCCGCAGAGTGGGACACTTGTAAAAGCACAAGAAAGAAGGAAGGAAAGAAGGGAGGGAGGGAGGGAGGGAGAAAAGAAAGGAAAGAAGGAAGAATGAATTACTTCTTTTACATGAATTATTCCATATGGAGAAACTAGAGGGAGGGGCTTGTCTGGATTAAAGCTGAGTAGGGTGGGCTGGTGATACAGCTCAGTGTAGAGCACTTGCCCAGCGTGTTCAAGCCCTCAGTTTGATCCTCAGCACCATGTAAACCAAGAATGGTGGTGCACTCTGTAATCCCAGCACTCAGGAAGCAGAAACAGGAGGATAAGAAGTTCAAGGTCATCCTTAGCAATGTGGAGAGTTCAAGGCCAGGCTGGAAAACATGAGATTCTGTGTAGTAAGTAAGCAAATAAATAAATAAATAAATAAATAAATAAATAAATAAATAAATAAACAAACCCTTTTAGGGATAAAACCCATCTCTTCATACTCAATACAGTGATGCAAATTCTTCACTGATTATTTATTTATTATTTATTAGTCTTTTTGAGATAGAGTCTCCCTGTAGCCCCAGCTGGCCTGGAACTCGATATATAGACCAGGCTGGCTTTGAACTCAAAGAGATCTGCTTGCCTCTGCCTCCCACATGCTGGAATTAAAGGCATGTGCCACCATGCCCAGCTCTTCACTGATCTTTTAATGTTGTTCGTAATGGGTATCTTGAACCATGATGTATGAAATCACCCTGTTTCCTTTTATTTGCTGTAGGTATTTGAAGAAAGAAGGGTCCTGCTTGGAAAATGGGTAAGCATTTAAAATAAACTGGGCTGGGGGTGTAGCCAAGTGGTAGAGTTCTTGCCTAGCATGTACAAGGCCTTGAGTTCAATCCCCAGCACCACATGATGGATGGATGGATGGATGGATGGATATATTGAGAAACAAAGTAAGTGTAGATAATTAAAATAAATGATGTCCATTTCTACATTATGTTATATTATCTGTTTTAGTCTGTTCAGGTTACTATAATTAAAATCATAGGCCACATGTCTGATAGACAATAGACATTTTATTTCTCATAGTTCTGGGGCCTGGCAGATTTAGTGTTGGGTGAAAGCCCTTTTGGGCAGCCATCTTACTGTGTCCTGAAATAGCATCAAAAAAGAGATCCTAGAGGGATCTGTTTCGTTAGGGTGCTCTTTCCATCCTGAGGGCTCCACTCTCCCCAAACCCCCACCTCCTAATTCTATCACCCTGGATTTTTTCATTGTTGTTTGAGATAGGGTCTCATTCTGTAGCCCCAGGCTGGCCTGGGACTCACTAAGTAGCACTGACTGGCCTCAAAATTGTATACTTTCAGGGATTCTCCTGCCTCAGCTTCATAAATACTGGGATTACAGGTATGAGTCATCCACCTAGCTGAGGTTAGGATTTCAACACGCAAATGTGGAAGGACACAAACATTGAGTCTATGGCACTATCACAGCACCATGGATAGATCCACCAAGCGTGGTGCTGGCTCCTTCCTTGGGAGCATGAATGATGACTTCAGTTCAGATTCTGTCGGAAAAACAGAAGTCATCTTTATGTTAATGAATCTAATTTAAAGATTGGTTGAACAAATATTGGAAAACAGAAGACACAGGAAGAGATTACTGCGGTTCTGTGGTGATAGAACTGGTCCAGGAGCTCCAGTCCAGCAAGGGACTGAGACGTCTGAGGAATAAAGTAGACATCACAGCCAGTTGGTTCTGATACATCCAAGGAAGCAAGGTGGTTCTGGGTGTTTGGAAAACAATGGGGCTAAGAATCCAGGTGAAGAATCAAAAGTCAGATGTGGTGGCACACGCCTTTAATCCCAGGAGGCAGAGAGGCAGCTGGATCCCTGTGAGTTCCAAGCCAGCCCGGTTTGCATAGTGATTTCTAAGCCAACCAGGGCTACATAGTGAGACCCTGTCTCAAAAAAACAAACAAACAAAAAAACAAAACAAAGCAAAACAAAAGCACCAGACAGGGCTGGAGAGATGGTTCAGCGGTTAAGAGCACTAACTGCTCTTGAGGAGGACCCAGATTTGATTCCTAGCACCCACATGGTGGCTAACAACTGTCTGTACCTCTAGTTCCAGGGGATCTGACTCCCTCTTCTGACCTCTGGGGGCACTGAACCACAGGGGTGCACTTACACACATGCAGGCAATACACTTATACACATGAAATAAAAATAAAAATAATAAATTAAAAAAAATGTCAAGGTGGTCCTGACAGGAACATCAAGCAAACAAAGCAGTATACCTCTTCTTCCTCAGTTTCCCTCTAGTGCCTCCCTCTTCACATACAGTTTCTAACAGAGGGCCATCTGTCAAAGAAAAAAAAATGGCTGCAGCACCCCTGCTCCTGTGCTTACAGCATATAATACAAGGGTTTGGATTGGAGAGACATTACCGCAGTAACCAGCACCGCTCATCCATTTAGCCCCTCGGCATCCAGGAACGGCCTTCTGCATATAGTGAACTTCCACATGAAAATGATAATAACTTTATGCTGTTGTCTAACAACACAAACATCCTTCATCACCAAAGAGAACTTTCTCGTCTGTTCCTTTAGTGAGGAGACAGAGTCCCAAAGGTCATTATCTATCACTGGGTAATATCAGACTGTCTATTTCTGGATAGTGTTTGTTGCTTGTTGGATTGCTCTGTTGTTCCAATTAAATATTTTCTACTGCCCAAGAGAATTGAAGACATATGGTTATATAAAAACTTGCACACTAATGTTTATAGCAACAGTATTCAAAAGCATAAACCATCCAAATATCCATCAGTGGGTAAATGAATAAACAAAATGTAGTGTGTCCGTATGATGAAATATTATTCAGTCATAAAGAAAATGATACATGCTACAACATGGATGAAGTTTGAAGACACAGTGTGCTAGGTGAAATAGGCTAATCAGAAGGACACATAGTCATAGTGTATGACTCTACTTGTATGACAAATGTACTTAGAATGGGAAAATTCTAAAGATAGAAAGTAGAACAGAGGCCGCCAGGGATTGGGGAGTTAGTGTTGGATGGGTGCAGACTATTAGTTTGAGATGGTGAAAACGTTCTGGAGGTGGATGGTGGTGATGGTTGCACAGAATGTGAATATGCTTAATGCCACGGAATACTTCTAATGGCTAAGATGATACATTTTACATTTATTTTAACAAAATAGAAAAAGTAAAAGTAAGGCAGGATGTGGTGATGAATGCCTGTGATCCCAGCACTCAGGAGGCAGAGGCAGGAAAATTAGTTCAAGGCCAGCCTCAGGCTACATAGAGAGTTTGAGGCTAACCTGGGCTATGTGAGACCCTGTCTCCAATAAACCAATCTCCTTCCTCCTACACACACACACACACACACACACACACAAACACACATACACACACACACACACACACACAAGTTAAAAAATGGAGGAGGGATGAAATACTGTTGTATTCTTTTTTCTAACTCATTTTATTAATAACCCGTTAATAATTCAAAATATAAAGAATAAAAACCTTAAGGGGAATGCCACTGCCTTTCCCCAAGCAACCACAATCAAAGGCAATGATAAGATTAGATTCTAAAATGCTTGAGGGGCTAGAGAGGTGACTCAGTGGTTAAGAGCACTGGCTGCTCTTCCAGAGGAACAAGGTTCCAATCCCAGCACTCACATGGGAGCTAACAACTATCTGTAACTCCAGTTCCAAGGGATTGGATGACCTCTTCTGTTCTCTGTGAGCATTTCATGACACTGGTGCACTTACATACATGCTGACAAGACACTCATACATATAAAATAAATAATTAAAATAAAATGCTTGAGTGGTAAGAAGGCTTAATGGCTCACAGACTGAAATGTTTGGTTGCTGAGTCTCTGAAGGATAGCAGAAGAGAAATGACATTTAAGGGACCCCCCCCCAGAGAACAGAGTGCCATTTCTGGGTCATGAGCACCTTGAATTCTCCCTGCCTCCCTCCCTCCCTCCATCCCTCCCTCCCTCCATCCATCCATCCCTCCATCCCTCCTTCCCTCTCACTCCCTCCCTCTCTCTTTCTCTCTGACAGTGTCTCTTGTAGCTTAGGCTGGTCTTGAACTCATTGTGAAGCCAATGATGAGCTTGAATACCTGATCCTCCTGCCTCCATCTCCCAAATACTGAGATTAGAGAGATGAGTGCTACTATGTCCGACTTTGAAGCTTTCTTGATTGTGATTTGGTATTACAAGTATTTGTCAACTAGGGAGCACAGAGCAGAATAGGCCACACAGGCTATAGGGTCACATTTCTTCAGCATATACAGACTTGATCTCCCTGTTCTTTGGGGAACATGATCATGCTTTAGACAGAAGTTCCAGATCCATCTGTAGCCACATCTCTTGATCCATTCTGTACTGTGGATAAACCATGAAAATACGATGCTGAGTGAAAGAAGCCAGACCCTTGCATCATCCCATGTACATGAAATGTCCAGAATAGACACAGCAAGAGACAGAAAAGTAGTTGGCAGTGTCCAGAGAGTAGGGAAAAGATGGAATTGACTGGAGTGGGGATGGGGTTTCTCTGAGGAGAATGAAAATGTGCTAAGATTAGACAGCAGTGCTGATGTTGTGACCCTGTGAATATATCAAAACCCAGCCAATTGTAGACTTTATTTTATTCCATTCTTGTGTATGTGTGTGGATGCATGTTTGTATGTGTGTAGGCACATATGTGGATGTGCATGCACATGTGTATTCATGCATGTGGAGGCCCGAGCTTGATGATAGGAATCATTTTGATCACTTTTCCACCTCACTTGTTGGAGCAGGGACTCTCAATGAAGCCTGGAGCTCACTGATATGGCTAGTCTCTCTAGCCAGCTTGCTCTGGGGATCTCTGGTCTTGGGCTTCCCAGGCTGGAAATACTGGAGATCTGCACTGAGCCTCTCCCTGGCCCCAATTGCACACTTTAAAATGTTGGATTTTGTGGCATATGATTTATACATCAATTTTTAAAAAGTCAGGATTCCTTTTTTAAAATATTTTATTTATTATCTTATGTGTATTAGTGTATTGCCTGTATGTATGTGAGTGCACCCGTGTCATGCAATGCCACGGAGGTCAGAAGAGGGCTTCGGATTCCCCTGGAACTGGAGTTAAGGACAGTTCGTAGCCGCCATGTGGGTGCTGGGAATCGAACCCTGGTCCTCTGCAAGAGCAGACAGTGCTCTTAACTGCTGAGCCATCTCTCCAGCCCCAGGATTCATTTTTTAAAACTATACTTGGTTTTCTCTAATTCGATCTGTGTGATAATCTTGAAATATTCCTTTTAAGCTTAAGTCAAAGCTGCTTTCCGTGAGGGAACCCCTTTGCCTAGCATGGCAGACTGAAGCCCTTTCCTGTCAGTTACTGACACTCAATTTTGCTAAAGGTGAGCATAGAGTATTAGCTTTAACTGTGTGCCTTTGCCTCAGCGTTCACCAAATCATTTCTCTGTTGTTCTGTAAAGTCATAGTCTGTTTATTAACCTATATTTTAAAAATCCTCCAGTGGGAAGAATTCTGTGTCTAAGATAGGATAGAAATTATTATTCTTTTCTTTGAATGGCTGAGTGTGTGTATGTGTGTGTGTGAGAGAGAGAGAGAGACAGAGAGAGAGTGTGTTTATGTTTGTATGTATGAAGGCCAGAGGTTAACACTAGATGTCTTCCTCTACAATTTTAGTGTATAATTATTTATTATTAGCGTGTGTGTATGTGTGTGTGTGTGTGTGTGTGTGTGTGTGTGTTATGTCTGTGTGGG